AAAACTATCAATACTCAAAATCAAAATCAACCTCCAGCTTTAAACGCAAAGGGAAAGTACGTATTAAGAGTCACAGCGGGATCTTCAGCTATGTGAGAGCCGTTGCTTTTACTTGTCCATCAATGTGATGAGACGCTAAGGAAACCCATCAGGAATGAGCAGGCTGGAAAAATATATTTCCTACATAGTGAGGGAGAGTTCAGCACCCCTCATGTCTCAGTCTCTGCCTCTACCAAGGCCTCCACACAGGGCCTCTGCTCCCGCTGTCCTGCACTGTGGTGGGCCTGAGTGTGAAGCAGACTGGGGAGGAGCTGCTGGCTGTCTGGGCTTGAAGGAGTTTCTGGTCCTGCTGCTGCTGGAGTCCCTGCAGAGGGGCGAGAGAAGCCTCTGAGCCAGCTGAAAGGAAGTGCACAGGGTCCCTCCAGCACTGAGAGTAGGCCTGGTTGTAGTCACTCTGACAGAGGCCTGTCTGCAGCTGCTGCCTCAGGAAGCTCACAGTCATCTCCAAGATGTCAGCCTTCTCTAGCTTGGAGTTGGGCTCTTGCTTGTGAAACTCCTTCTCCAGAATGACTTTCAGCTGCTCGATGCAGCTGTTGATGCGATCCCTGCGCATTTTCTCCACAATGGGTTTCCTCATCTGAGAAGGAGAAGGCAGACAAGTAAGTTCACGTTTCAAGTCAGCAATGCACAAGCCAATCTAAAAATCTCCTGTGGTACTCACTTTAATGTTATCCTTCTCAGAGATCCTGATGTGGTGAACAGAGGAGTAGTTTGTTGAGTAAGGAGCCATGTCTCTGCAGAGGTGAAGTGAGCAGCTTCTTCTGGGCAAGCAGTGTTAGCTCTGATGTCTCTGGAGGAGCCGCTCCTCATTTTATACTGGGAGATTAGCATAACAAAGTCATGTGGCTGAGGCAGGGCTGGGGTTCCCACACTCTGACCAGTGGGACTCCCAACAACAACAATGGAGGAGATGTCAATAACTCATTGAGCATTTATCTGTGCTGGGCATGTTTCCCAAGATAAGCAACAGGTAATTAAGAGTTAATCAGAGGCGCTATCTCCGAATTTATATCAGCTGGATTGATCAGATTTTTTTTTTCTGTTTTTTAATTCTGATCAGAGGGAGTAAAATACACAAAAGAGAGAATCTCTCCAGGGGGAGGGGTGACTGCAGTTAAGGACCAAATGCGTTACTGCAATAAAACAATATAAATGCCCCTTCAAAGAACACTTGAGCACTTTACTGCTCAGACAGCAAAGTGTGGAGAGGACAGAAAATGTTGTTTTTGGAATAATAAAGGCCTCGGGTATGACTCCAGGCAGTCCCATCAAAGTTAGGCTGAAGGAAGTTTAAAATGAGGGAGTAAAACGAGGTGAGAGGACAGGACAATCCAAGAAGTCTTAGATGAAACTTATTCGTCTACCACCTGTTGCTTTTCCAACTCCGCCCCACTCAAGCCTTGACATTAAGGTTTCCCACGGGGATCGCGAGTGAGGGAAAGCTTCAGCAGTGTATCTCGAGCATATTCAAAGCTACAGACGACCCAGGTGTGAAAGGAGGTGAGTGGCGTAAGTTGTCTGGCCCGAGCCGGGCCGACCAACGCGTGCATGCCCAACAAGCGATTTTTTTGCGCTTGTGTTGACGCACAGCGTGAGGCGTTTACTCAGCCTCTTGTTCCTCTTATTAAAGACAAACAGGGGCGGGAGCGCATATTAGTCATGTTTATATTTGCCCTCATATAGAAAGACAAACAAAGAAAGACCCAAAAGTGCCACCCTGCTGGAGAGAGTCACCGAGTCATGAATTTATTACGAAACTAATAAATTTAGCATATTTTGCAGATATCTTTATTACTGGTCATGACTTCTTCTGAAAAATTGTTAGCAGCCTTTAGTCAAAAGTCCTTGCCTCGCTTCCCCCGAGGGTCTGCAGACTCTGCTGTAAATGAACTATGTCAAATTAGTGTCAAGTTAATGGCATTATGAGCGGGGCTGGCAGTGTGCCTCTGAGGGTCTCCATCATTGGCTGGACCCAGATGTGAAGCTGGCCTTGTGGGCGCAGTGTGAGTAGTCCCATCTCCCCAGTTTCCCACCAGCCCCCAACATCAGGCTAAATGGGCTACAAAAGCCATGCCGCTCCTCCACGCTCCGAGGAATGTTAATTGATCTTTTGTTGCAGCTCAAACAGAAACTCTGTGTCCTGGTCCATCTGGGAAAAATCAAGTCAACTGGCTTCACTGCGTGTCTGTATGGAGGTTTTGGTCCGTGCTTTCAGTTACCCATGTATAGTGCTGAGAGAAGAACTAAAGGTTTCATCACAAAGGAAGAACTGCAGAGATGCAGTACTGTTAAAAGTCTTGGGCCGCCCCTTGATTTCTTTAGACTTTGCTTCCGAGGAGCCAGACCTTTTCTTTGTAATATTTCAAAGTGTCAATAGTTCTCCAGGCTCTCTAAAGGTTTTGGGACGTGCATCTTTGTAACCAATTTTGTTTTTGATTCTTGTTTGTTTTTATTAAGCTAAACTATGAGTCATTCAATAATAAAAAGGCCCCTAATTCAAGTGATGAACCAGACACCACAACACTGGCACAACACATAGGCACACAGGCACTTTGTTACTAGGAGCCTGTTGCAAAAACATATAATATAATTTAAACCTACTTCTTTATTGAAATGTATGAAAATTGCTAAAAAATAACACAGCTTCAGAGTCATAAAATAGTATATTTACACGAACAAGGTGATTCCCAAAGAGGTCTTAGTAGCCAACTTGGCATATCTCTGCCCAGTTCGAAGTGTGTCTCTACAGTGTCTTTACATCTATTTACATCAGATGTACAGTATCTGAAAGTCATGTCTTTAAGAAATAGGAAAAATGAAAGAAAAGCTTTAACACCAGATCTGATGAATGTATCTGTCCCTTCAGTTGATTCATCTACTATTCATAAGCCTCATCAGAAGTGGTCTCAGAGGAAGGTTGGTCATAAAGAGGGGAAACAGAGAGAAGGCTCAGGTATGAAAAATTACACCAGAACGGGACTGAAAGTCAGACACAACAGGTCTGGTAGAGTGATGAATTCAAAGTCGACATTTATAGTTTGAGTCATGATCAATGTGTACAGAGGAGGTAAGGAGAGAGGTAAAGCTGGGTGTGCATACGGCCATCTGTGCAGTCAGCCGGTGGTGTTTGAGAGCTTGTCAAAATTGATGAAATTATGAACACAGAAAAGTTCAGGCTGTGTTGTCACACCAAATATTGGAACTCACTAGATTATACGATTGTCTGTTTTTGTCTTATACACTATATTTCCATTTCTTCTTGCACATTTTTCAATGCCCATATTTCCCATTTTCATAGAAAAATCTAAAATAAATAAATGAGGGGAGTCTCAAGACTTTTGTACAGCAGTGAGTCCAGTCAGTGGCAGCATCCCCACCACAAGTCATGTAAAAGCAGCATCTGAACAGTAGAAAATGCTCAAAAAGTGCTACAGGTATTGAACAATAATTCACAATAAATCTGATATGAGAGAGATAAAAGCAGGTAAAAAGGTAAATCTCTGATCTGTGGAGGTAATGAGATAATTAAAATTCACTGTAATGGAGCCCTGTTTTTTATTTTTATTTTCTTTCTCCTCTTACATCTGTGTGGCCCATATCAGCAGTACTACTTAAAACTGTTGTCATTACTGGAAAAAATTTAAAAAAA